CCCGTCAATGCCTGCCTTTCCTTCACTGTCCAGGAGTCTGGGCTATCATCTCCCATGGAGGGCAGCCGTCTCTTCAGTGATGAGAGGATACTTACCGCATCCCACGGATCACACTGTCCCGGTACCCTATCCTTCTTCCTCTTTGAGAATCCCTCAGAAATAGAGACCGTCCTACTCATCAGCCTGACAGTTCCCAGCAGGCAATCTCAGTACATTTCCCCCATCTGAGAATAGCTTTACTTTTTACTCATTATACAAATAAAACAGGCTCATGATGAAGATAAAACAAAAGCAAAAAGAGAACCAATCACAAAACCATAGTCGACCAGAACGCAGAGATCTTCAGAGCACCCCCATCTTTTCACTGACAGTTTAATAGAGATGACCACCATTAGACACCAGTATCTAGTCTGACAGTTTTTCCCTAGAACAGAACTGCACAGACGCCTGTCGAATGAATGGGGGCAGAGCCTGAGAGCGGGCACATGTAAGAAGAGCACAGCACTGGGGTCTGCTGCAGAGGCCTGGGCAACAGCTGTCTGCATCGGGCAGGGGTTTGCCACTGAACGGGAGCTCCAGCGGGTCCTGCAGAACCGTCCAGCCTGGTTCAGAGCTCGTGCAGTGCCTCCTTAAGGCTCCTCCAGGTGGGAAGCCTTGTGCCTAGGAGTGTCAGCTCCTGGAAGCAGCCCACTCCGAAACAGCAGCAGGAACCCACCCAGTCTTCCTTCAAATGACAACCGCGTAACAGAATCTATCTTTCCATATGGCCCTCTCGCCAACCTAAGGATCAGACTTACACTGGAGCCTTCCTCCCTGAATACCAGCATAGCTCATTGTGCTGAGATCAGCAGGTATAGACCGTGTGTGTGTGTGTGTGTGTGTGTGTGTGTGTGTGTGTGTGTTTGTGTGTAAGGCCCTCCTAACCTAAGACTTAGCTCTCCCTGCTGGATTTGGCTGGGGAGAGGATTTCTCCAAAGGATTAAGCAAATGCCCAGAACTCTGCATACCACTGCCAAGGGAGGGGCTGCGAGGGACCCGCCAGGGCCAGGAGGTGGGGCTGGGAGTAACTTGGTAGTGCTGACTTGGGGAAAAGAAAGGTAGGTCAGACTAGAGTTTAGGCCAGCCTGGGAAGCTCAGATTTGAGTTAAGAAATAAAAAGGAACTTCTAGGTGGGGTGGGAATGACCAAATGAAAGCAGCATTTAAGAAAGAAGAATTTGGCATCCGGTATATTAGCGGAGAGGGGGAAGAGGGGAGGCCGGTGTGTGTGTTGGGGAAAGGGACGCCCCTATGGTATCTCCGATGCGGGGACTCAGCTGGGAAAGAAGTGTCTTATAACCTCAGTGCTCAACATGTGGCCTCCTGGGCCAGCACTGGCAGCGTGGGGGACGCAGAATCTGCAGCCGGCCTTAGAACGAAGGAATCACACACTGCATTGTAATCAGACCAGGCAATTCACATGCACACAGAGTCTCAGACGCATTGTCTTGGAGCAAAGCAGCCGGGATCTTGTGCTTGGTTGGCCACGAGGGCAGGCTATTTCCTCAGCTCACTGTGGGAGGGCAGCCATGGTGACAGGAACACATCACACCTCTGCCTGGAACGTCCTCACCTGTTCCTTCTATTCTTCAAGACCCAAACACCTCTCCAAGTCTTCCTGGATGCTCTGCCTACCCCCACTCCCAGCCTGAGAGGTGCTGCTCCACCCCCACCTTGGTACTGTGCCCATACTGCACCCATGATCCGTCTCCTGTGCTCGACACAAGATTGAGACCTGTCTGTTCCTCCGTTTATCTATGAACCTCCTGTGCCAGCACATGCCTGTGTGGCATACAGTGGGCTCTCCATTAATGTGCAATGAAATGAGTCCACAGAATTGAATGATGAAGATGATGACTATGGAAGACCAAAGTTCTTGGATCAAGCAGGAAGCCGGCCCAAAGTTCTTAGGCTGGCTTCCAATTCTCCTACGTAGCAAAGTCACACATTACTGGATTACAGTTCAGAAAACAATTAGGAGGAAAACCATAGCTCTCACCTGCCGGCTGTAAACAAGAGGTTCCCCAGCGTGTGGAACAATTGCCGTATGTTTACACACTTGGAAATGTCCCTGGTTCTCTGACATGTGTGTATGATTCAGAAGCACACGGCGTGGCCTCTGATCACAGAGCTGATAACATTTCTGAACCAGGACTCAAAGGCCAGCTTACATCTACCCTACAAAAGGACTTGCTTCCATTCCTGGAACACATCAGTGCCCTTCAGGAAGTCCAGTGACCCTCACGGTCAGCTCCACACCCTCGCTGCACACCACAGCTACTCTCAGAGGCACAGGCTCCATCAACAGTCATGTAGTGTATTTGCACAAGAGCACAAGGGATCAGACTCAACCAGACTCACAATTTCTTTCCACATATTTATTTATTCCAAATAAAACTAAATGAGTGGAGAAAGGGACGAGCATGGGCTGTGTCAGCGCAGGGCTAAGAGCTGGTTACGGCTACTCTAGGCAGCCACAGAAGCACCCAGAGCAGGAGTCTTTGGAGCAGATATAGGACCCCGGGGGCAGGATGGAAGAGCCAAGTGGGGCCTGGGCTGAATACACCTGGGAAGCAGCAAGCCAGCTGGGGGTGAATGTCAGCGCTGAAGGTGCTCTGAGAATGACCCAAAGGCCCCCAACTCTCTACCTCAAGTTCAAGAGGTGTAGTACCGGATGTGGGCTCCAGCACCATCACCCCACCACCTCCTCTGGCTGGGATCCAGAGAGCAGGAGCAGGGGATGGACCTCATCCTCAGGCCTTGTGGCACTAGTTAGTGAGAGCCTGGAAGGCACCAGAGGTGAGAGTCAGGCCTCATATGCTTCCTGGGGCCTCTGGAAAGCAGTGAAAACTGATTTTGGAAACACCCAGAAAATATGTAGGTCCAGCCCCTCAGCCAAGGCCCCGTGAGCTACAAAGCAATTTCCATCCTGGCCCGTCTCAGAGTATGCACCATTGCAACTTGTTGCACCGTGAGAGCTGACTCTGAGCCCAAATCACTGACGAAAAAGAGGGGAGGGGGGTAGAGGGAGCCTTCATAGCTAAATGGAACAATGCATTTTCACATGGGCCTCCAAGGCTACTCACTAGAAAGAGAGGGCGGCCAGGAGAGCAGCATTTACTTGGTGTCACCCGACATGCACGCTCTGATTTCATTACTGATGCAGACACGGTTCTGTTTTGCAGTTGACAGCACTGAGCAAGAGACGTTCAGTGCCTTCTCGGGTGCCACACAGCCCGCAGGCAGCAGGCTGCAGCCTGGACCCAGACCTTTGTGACCCCAAAGCTGGAAGTCTTTCTACTGTCACACTTCGCCTCCCCACACCTTCCCTTGTGGGTTCCTGGAGGTCAAGGGGTACCTTCCCCTTTGTCTTAAAGAGAATTTAAAAAGATCAACTTATTTTTTCAGTCATCAAATACAGTCAAACCATGTTTACTCTAAAGGAAATTTACCATGTGACAGATGTCCCTTCTCTTTCCTCCCTTCCCAGCCCTTCCCTTAAGGAAAGGGTCAGTTTCGCTGAAAGATAATAGCAAGGTTGTTTACAGAAGAGCCAGCCCCCACCTGACACAGCTACAGTGTCCAGTGCTCCACTGCGGGCTTATCTGATCTGTCCTCTCCCACACAAGAAGGTGACGCACGATAAGACCACAAACCAACACCAGCTGTGGCAGCTCAGAGTGGCAGCTCTGGTCTGGGAAG